AGTTGTCTGGATTTAAATATATAATATAATAATTATATACAAAACATAATATTATTGATAAAAACTTTTGAAATAAATACGCGAAAGTGTACTTCAGAGGCAGCTCTTTGGTGTTAAAAGATCAATTCTAGTGGCTTATAAAGTCTTCTGTGTTAAGAGAACATTTGTTGCTCTCTTCCGGTAAGAATGTAAACTTCCTTATGTGGGCAGATTGATGAACCTGCCGACTGAGTGCAAGCGATCTGCTACAGTTTTGGTTGTCCTTGTATTGTAAGTCATTGGCTTTCTATAAGGCTACGTTATTGTGTAATGTGTTTGAAGCATGAAAGACCTGAAGCTGTTTTTAAGGCAAAAAGCTCATAGCAACTACAAATCTAGATATCTCTTTTGATCTGTAGATCTATAATGAATGCAGTATGAGAGCTGTTGAGATTAATTGTTGAGTGTGTGAGACGCCGCTCGCCGGTCGTCGACATTTACTTTTATTATTGCCGAAGTTGCCTCTCACCACCCACTCTCTCTTGTTTTGCTGTTGTGCTATTATTGCATGCAGAAAATGTCCGCTGGGGGCTTTTTGGAAATTTTATGTGGCCAGGCCCGAGAAGTCCTTTGCAGTCACTCTCCTGTCTCCTGGCTGGGTGATCAGATGGGGTATTTTGTACTGCTGCTTGTGAGACTGCAAAGTGAAAATGGGCTGGGTGAAGGCCATAATTTCACAGAGCTGCAAGCAACAGAGAAAAAAAAGAAGAAAAAAAGAGCTGTACACTTTATGCAAGAACAGATCATTTTTTTCTTCTTTATACCCACCAGTACTCATAATTATAGCCTAATTTTTAAGAAAACTATTTGATCTATAACTTTAACAACTTTTAAAATTAACACTTTGCCCCCACGGGACGCCGATTGGCGATGGTAAGAAGCTGTCCCTTTCCTCCACGGGGCGCCGGTGTGATTTGCGTGTACCGCACCTGTATCCCGGTCCATGGGGATTTACACGCACTCTGCACACTGCGTAGGTGGAAAGTGTTTTAAAGGCTATGGCAACGATAATCGGTAGTTGGCCTACATGAGGGAAGCGAGCACCGAGTCATTTCCCAACCACATGCGGCAAGCCACCTTGGGCCTAGATGATTTTATCGACCTGCGAGAGGTAAGGGGTGAGTCCTCGCCTCATGCCCACACCGGGGTGGGGGTAAGAATATCGGGTAATGAGCTATTCTCAAAAGGGATGAGAATATAGGTGGCCTATTCTTTTACTTTTCCTCCCGTCTCGCACTTTTAGCTACCAGTTGTCCATTTTCTACTACTAGAGTAATCGTACCGGGTCAGGCAGCACGTTTTTTTTTAGCTGTCAAGCACTGGAGTACAAAAAAATCATTTAAAACTTTGTTTTTAAATCTAGCCCCAAAAGAGTGGCACACAAACCTAAAGCAACCTCCCTTACTTTTGTTGAAACAGTTACGGCGATATTTTGCTAAAAATAGTGACAGCTTTTTCTTCATCAACTAAGCAAAACCGGATGAAGCTCTTTCCCCGGAAGAGTTAACATTGGTTGTGGATGAAGGAGCCTGTGGCCTAGATTCTACGTTTTGGAAAACTCTGAAGGCTGGAGAGTTTTGCATATGAGGCCTTGTCAAGGATGAAAGAGAATTTGCAGTCAGTCTTGCCGTTTTTACCCAAGGGGGGGGGGGGGGGGTGCCCGGATTGTAACATAAAATCCGTAGTTTCTCATCCTTCGGGCACATAAGATAATATAGTGCCAATGGTTATATAACAAAGAATCAAAAATTTGTGCATAATTTAAATAATAGTAGAGTCAGATACAGCATATTAGCTCAGTCAGACACCAGTGCAGTAGAGTCAGATACCAGTGTGTAATACAGTCGGATATATATCAGTGTAGCAGAGTCAGATACCAGTGTAGTTGAGTGAGCCAGATGCCAGGGTAGTAGAGTCAGATACCACGTAGTAGAGTGGGTCAGATACATACTCATTAAAATAGCTATAAATGGTGAAAACCACTTTAGACAAACTATCATTGTGTCCAAGTGTTGATAACAAGCATTGAAAATCATGTTATTAAACTTGCAAAGAAACAAATGTGATAATAATTGAAAATGACCGATTCTCAAAATACTGCCCGAATCCATGAGAAAACAAAAAAAATGTGACCGAACACATGAATAAATTGGGCGCCACTTTTGCACCCAGTAAGGGCCTCAAATATGAGAACAAGCTGAAACAGGTCATTCCTGGGGTCATCCAATCACAGGGCTTCCTATAGCTGGTTTTGGTTTCTCTCTAGGGCAAGGCAGATAGAAGATATAAAGCTTTAAAGACGATGTGCCTGTTTTCGTCCTAATTTTGACCGAACCGGTAATTTTACTCTATATATTAATATACTGAACATGAATATATCAACTTCATTTTCATTGCAAATTAATAGTTTTTTAATTGTTCTCAATCGAGTGATATCACACTTAAGCCTTTATGCGTAATAATTTGCGCGCTTTGGACAAATCGGGGGGTGTCAGGGGGGCCCCCGGGGCAAAAAAAATCAGGGGGGTTACAGGCCCCCCCCCCCCTGTTTTAACCCATAATTTGTTTTTTTTACCGCAAGGTTGGAAATTTTCTTAAAAATAATTGTGTGATGTCCATCAAACAATTACTGCAGTTTAACCTCGAAGCAGTGCATGATCAGTATGCGAAAGTGAAAGTAAAAATTAACCCTATTTTTTTGGTTTTGGATTTGAGTTACAACGACAAAGGGAAGGAGTTCCGCAGAGGGCCGACCTACCAACAACACACCCTAACCCTAACCCTGACCCTAACCTTAACTCTTGATAGTTTGCTCAGTGGACCTTGTTCTGGCCCTCTGCGGAACTCCTCCGTGACATAGAGATTCATTATAATGTCATTAGACTGTCATCGTCATAGTTTAGACTCAACACTAGTCTACACCTTGCCATAGATTAGAAAATTTGTAAATTTTTATGAAATAATTAGAATGGTTTTCACTCTCGACAAATAATTTGGTCTTCCCTGTTTCTTTTCTTTAAATATCAAAGTCTTTTGATTGGTATGCTAGTCCACCCAAACGTTTCTTTATTTGTCTCGTGGACAATTCTATTATATCTTGCTCTGATGGTGACTCATGTGACTGATTCTGAGGCTGAGGTTCCTAATTAAAATTTCGTGAATTTGCCATGAAACTCCCTAAAACTTGTAAAACTGAACTTGCCTCTTGCTACAATATCTGACCAACCGACTTCTGAAATTAAACTTTCGCAGAAGAACTTACAACCATCATAAAATCGCCAAACACCTTGCTAAATTAGTAAAAGTGTATAATTTTTTTGGGGGGTCTTTTTCATAACAGTGAAATTACCATAGAGGCTCATCCGCAGTCTAATAGACCAGAGTCAAAAAAGACTTGAGCTGGTAAGGGCGGGCAGCAGTTTCTGCCGCAGCAACGTTGAGCCTTCAAGTGACTAGACCACTCTGGATTACTTCTTCTTCTCTGTGTTGCCCTTAGCTATGGCGTTTTTAGCTCTCTGTATACACAGAACCAGGAAAGTTAATATTAATACTCTATTAACGGAATAGGAAAGTTATGTAACATTTCTACAGAGCCAATTTTATTGAGATCATCCAATTTTCTGCTGACAAAGTCGTCACAAATTAATTTGCCTATTTAACCACGCCCATATTTAACCTATGAGAGTATAAAGTACACACTGGTTTAAACTATACAGAAATAAATGCTCGACCTTTGCTGTGGAAATCACTTATTGTGGAGTTTGTGTGATTTGAACATGTCACGTGACATTCTTTTAGTGTTTTAATCTTATTTTATTATGTTTCTTTCCCAGGTGTGGCCTGGTCTCTGCTGTTCAGAAGTAGTGCAGCAAGTCAGGAGCCAAATAGAAAGCAGATTGTTTTCTGAGATGAGCTACTAAGGGTTTCCAGTCCCCTGAAAAGGTTTCTGTCAATATCAGCCGGCTTGAGTTGACTGTGTCTTCATTTTCTTTCCTTTTGAAATTAGTTAAAATTAAAAGAAAATACAAAGGTCTCCTACTAAGAACAAGAGATCGTCATCGTGAGACGGAAAAAGCGGGTACAAATGGCAGACTTTAGAGGACACAACTCAGCTCCTGCCCATTGGCTTTCCTTGTTCATTCCGTGGTAACACAATGAACCCTAGGTAATACTGACACCCAAGGGAAGATAGAGAAGTCTACTTTTTATTTAAAATATTAGATGCAATCGAACCTGCTCCAACAATCGCCTAAACGACCACTTCCCACTTCTTCGCCGGCATTTTTTCCTTTATTATAATGACACTGACCAAGATGACCACCTGTCTAAGACAACCACTTTTTTTCTTCGACAATGGGCGTGGCCTTTCACAATTTCTACTCTGTATTATGTGTGTTGTATTGATAACAACAAAATGTAATCTGGTGAGACTCTTCATTATTTTGTATTTATTTCAAATGAATGGAAACGAGCCTGAATAGAGTTTTAAAGTTCTCTTTTTTTATCCTTTGTATGTCTTGCTGTCTTTTATTTTTATCTGTTCTTGTGTTGACTCTTGTCTGATAGATCTACTTTCCTTTACAAATGAACAGGCAAATCAGTTCTGGTATTTTTCTGTCACCTTTCACAGATGAATCCTGCTTCGACTGCTCAAGTACTCTCTGAGCTAACAAAGCAGCTCAGAGGAACACAACGATATGATGAATTTGTTGCCAACTTCAATAAGTGCCAGACTGACACTGAGAGGGTTGCTTGTCTCCACACTCTCCCAGAAACATCTGATCTCTTTCCCGTTCAGGAAGGGTACAAGTCAAAAAATGAGAGAGACGCTGAGCTTCTTAGAGCCGAAGGTAATAAGCTGTTCAAAGCCAAGGACTATCCTTCAGCTTTTTATAAATACACCCAAAGCATTCTCAAGGCCCCGAGTGATTCTGCGAATTTAGCACTTGCCTATGGGAATCGTTCCACAACAAATTTCTACATGAAAAGGTACAGAATGTGTTTGGTAGACATTGAGATGGCTTTCAGGCATAACTACCCTAGGACTACATGTTACAAGTTGTACCAGCGTCTGGGACGTTGCATGTATTACCTGCAGAGGAAGGAAGAAGCGATCAAAGCTTTTCAGCAGACCATCATTGTTTTGGGGTATGCCCCTGATATTTCAGAGAAGAATAAACAGGAAATGATCCAGGACATGACTAATGCCATTGAAAAATGTTCAGAGATTACATCACAAAATAATGATGTATTGTCGGAGAACTTTAATGTGTGCCACCAAGGCATACCTGAACTGTCTGCAGATCCTAGCAAAGAAGTTCCCTCTGTCTCAGACAGTGTGGAAATAAGACTGGACAGCTATGGTGGTCGTGGGCTGTTCGCAAAGAGACAGATAGAAATTGGGGAGGTGCTGATTGTGGAAACTCCATTCTCCTCTGCACTCCTGAAAGAGTTCAACCTGAGTCATTGCCACTACTGCTGTAACCGTGTGTTTCTTCCACTCCCATGCCATCAGTGCAGTGGGGTGGTCTTCTGTTCCCTACAGTGTCGAGACACAGCTTGGGCGAAATTCCACTGGGCAGAGTGCAAGATTTTGGAGAACATTCAGGACTTGAAAGGGGACTTGGGCTTGCTGGCATCGAGAATGATATTGACAGCAAAGTATGAAGATCTGATAACTCTTGAAGAATCCGCAGCAGAATGTGCCATAGAGCGCTGTGCTGGCTTTAATGCCGAGGGTGTGTACAGCTCCAGTGACTACTGCTCTGCCCATAGTCTTGTGAACCACTCAGACAAACGTTCATTTAAAGATCTCCTGCAGAGGACAATATCTGCTGTTTTCTTTGTGAGATATTTAGAATTCGTTGGTTATTTTACCTCAGAAAAACGTCTTGCGTGTAAGGGCAGTCAGGACACAGCCAGTGGTGACTCTATCAAACTTGCCAGTGAATCAGAACTTTCATCAAAGCAGGACATTGTTGTTCCTTCTGACAAGGAAAAGTTGTTGAAGGAGATGCACCAGGTCGGAGGTCACATCCTGCGGAACATCATGATGCTTCCCTGCAATGCCCATGAAGTCTCCGAGTTCTCTCTCAACCCGGCCAGCCCGGCAATGTCTTGCACCGCTGAGCTAGCAGCAGCCATATACCCAGTCCTGAGCCTGGTCAACCACTCATGTGACCCGTCTGTTGTGCGACATTCATTTGGCAACGTCTGTGTTGCCCGTGCTATCCGCAGCATCCGTGCGGGTGAAGAACTGAAGGATAACTATGGTGCCCTTTACCCGACCATGGAGCTGGAGAAAAGACAGAAGGACCTCAGTTCTCAGTATTTCTTCAGATGTTCTTGCGAAGCATGTGTAGATGACTGGCCGCAGTATTTCGATATCCCGTCTGAGCGACCAGTTTTCCGCTGTCTGGCCTGTTGCGATGGCCAGGTGCCCATCCCCCTGAACAACCTCACTGAGTCGGCAGCATGCTTACGGTGCGGGAACAGTCAGGATATCACACAAGTTCTTCTTCAAATGGGGGAGATGGAGTCGATGTACAAAGACGCACTCACGGCTGTCATTGATGGGGACAACAGCCGGTCGAACGTTCAGACTCTTCTCACCTATCTGCGCTTTGTGGAACACCAAGTGAAAAGACCGTGGAGAGACATTAATGACAGTCAGGAAGCCATTAAGCAATGTCTGAATATGCAGGCCAACTGCTTTCCCATGCAGTTATAATAGGACTTGTTTGTGCTTTAACTTCTTGAGTCCTGGGGCCGATTGTGGCTGAGTTTTTAGAGCAAAATTCTAAGATTTGCACCAACTTGTGTCGAGGTGTACGTTCAGTGTACTGAAGAGTAAAGGTAGCACATGCTTAAATGTACATGCTGCTGTTAACTCTAACCTATTCACTGCCACATAGTTTATCCCGAGGTGGGGGGGGGGGGAGAGAAAATTTGTATTATTGTCTAAGGTACTGATTGTTCCCTTACAAATGATAGTAAGACTAGTAAGAGCCATGATACTTCACAGATGATTGAAAATTTGGTTTTCTTTTAGCCTGTGAAATTAATATGACTATGATACAGATACAGTGAAGTAGAGCTCTTCAGTTGACTGTACCGAAACTGCTTTTGTGTAAGGCCTGTTTATTTTGCTAGGTAAAATCAGGTCAGGGACGAAGCAAAGAAAGTTTAGAAAGGGTTGTTGAATATAGTGCTATTGCTGTGTATGACTATGAAAGGTTCCAAATGATGTTGAGTTCTGTGTGGTATGTTCAGTACGTGCAATATCTGGCAGTTGTCTTCTGTGTAGTTATGCATGCAGTTGCAAGTGCTGTAAAACTTTTACCAAACTGAAACTTCTTTGGAGGCTGTGTGGGACAAGGATAGCGAGCTACCTGCCTCTCCCAAAAATGTTTTTTTTTTTCTTTGGGGGAGAGGGGGGGGGTGGGGGGGAGGGGAGTCACAAAAATTTAAGAGTCACTGCGGTCTAGATGGAGGTACAACACCTTGAGGATTACTCCTCTAAAATGGAATAGGTTCCATGAATGTCTGTACTCAGATGGAGTCATATTTTTTAATATAAAAATATAAACAAAAGTTGAGTTGGATTTTGTACCAGGAACAATTTTTTTTGGTAGTATCATTGACTTTCTTGCGCAAGGGCATAAACATTAAAACATGATCATTCATGATCATATTCCCTCTGCTACCAAAATATTTTAGCACCAAGCGTATTTTTTAAAATCTGATGCATTGTTAGTTTTTTATGCTCCCATCTGACAATCTGGGAGGAGATTAGTTGCTTTGACCTGATGTCAGGGCAGGCAAAGCCTTTGTGGGGTACATCCCAACTGATACTCGATAAAATATCTTTCCAATGTGTCCATCCAACTCCTGATACTTCACAGACGATGGTTCGATTTGACTTCATGCTAAAACTGAGCAAAGTGCTTTGCGCTACAAAAGTCCATCTCTGCACCTCCCGATAAGCGACAAAGAAGATAGGGTACCATTCCTTGTAAAAGGTTGCACTCTTTGTAAGGTCATTCATACCGTAGTCAAGAACTGAACATTCATAAATTACTTTTTATTTTTTTAATCCTCTGTTGCCTTTATCGTAAAGTGTCAAGGGGAGATGCAGTTCTCTACGGTAGGCTAGTCTGGCTGCTCTTTCAGTTGGGATGTTATTATAATTCCTCAGGGTTTCTTTGACTCTTGTGACAGAGGTAATATATTCTGTGTTCTCTTTCTGGATTGGTTCACACAGAGGTACACTGGTGGTATAGCTGTCAAAAGTTTGTTGCATTTCCGTTATACTTTGAAGCTTTATCATGATACCGTATGGTGCTATTATATATTTATATTATATTTTGCAATACTTTAAAAATATTTCTTCTATTTTTTCAGTGTTTTGCTGTCTAGGATCTGTTTTTCACTTTTTAAGAAATATTCGCCAAAGCTCATGAAAAAATTAATGTTTGATGTAGACTGATGTCTTTGCTTTAAAAGTGAATTCTTCTTACATTTGTTTGTGTCTTGCTAGCGTGCATTGGTTCACTCCCGGGTCTATAGTTTTTTCATATATGGATATATGAAAAAGATAACAAATACATGTGTCGTAATGTATGCTGAGGTTGTCAGATAAAAATACACCATTTTGACAAGGTGAAAGAGAGATGTTTATAGTTCTCTGGTAAAGCAGCATTGTTAGTAATTTAGCTTACTGGGCTGGCTAGCTCAGCTCAAATTAACCTAAAGAATGAGTATGTCTTGCCTGGACTTCCCGTTAGGCAGGCATGTATCACAATGAATTTCGAAACTCTGCGATAGTCTAGCTTAGTTTAACTGATTAAGTCATGGTTTGTTTTTTATTGAAGTGCTCATTTATTACAATTTATGGCCATGCCTCCACCACCCCCCCCCCCCCCCCCCCCCCGACCTGAAAACTTTGTAATTACTCCCTTCATTCCCTTGGACAGCTTGTTAAATCTCAAATTACCTGGTACTTTTATTCACTTTTTTTTATCATTTCACATAATCTAACTCTATCCATTGCTCCCAGTTCCCACGTACCCACTAGTGTCTAGGTGAAAAGAAGAAAATGTGATAATAGAAAAGTACTTTTCCCTCAGGTTTTAGCATCTTATCTGACGGAGCCAGGGATGAAACTCGCATTTAAAAAAAATTGTTGCACCTGTATACTGCACAGTTCATATATATTCCTTATTACTTGACAATGGGAGTTTGTGACTAGATCTTTTTTACATTATATTCTCATGGTTGTTTTGCTTTTGACGACATGGAGCCATGCTGTGTGAACTGATGTTTTGTTTTCACTGACCGGCTGGTCTTTTGACAATCTTTCTGTTGGTGTTACCGGCAACTCCTTATGTTTCTGAGTTTGTTTGCTTGCTTACCAATGCTGTTCTGGTGTGAACATTGTTGTTTTCCAATCTGTAGAGGTGCGTTAAGGGGTTGGTGGACCCTCTGATGTGTCCTGGGCTGTCTCCTTTTCAAGCACTATTATAGTATATTGTTCCTGTAATCTTGTTTAGAAAATGGTTGGTTGGCGGGTGCTCTGGTTTGGTTTGCTCCTTCTGTCCCATTAATTAAAAATATATTTGTCATTTTCTTTTCTCTCATTCTTTTCTTTTTATATCTTTCTCTCTTGTAGCACTTAATTTTCAGCACTTTTACGATCTAATTGGGTTGCTAGTGCTGTAAAACTGGTACTAAGACTAAAAATTCCTCTAGAAAAAATGTGGCTGGTATTGGGCAGGCTTATTTTACACCCTAGGCCTTTATCTCCACAGCTTTGACTTTGATCATTATTACCCTTGTTTTAATACATTTCCCCCATTTTGGGAGGAACTTTGGCCATGACAATGATACATACAGTTCGGCACAGATAACATGAACAGGGAAACTGGCATCAGTATCCAAGTGGTTAGGCTACCGGACTCATAATAATCTCTCTTGAGACTGCGGGTTCAGAGTTCGAGCCTCAGCTCGGTCCAACTTTGCGTCCTTGGGAAGGCGCTTTACTCGAAGTTCTCACTTGGCTTAGTCCTTTCGGAGATGGGTGTTCATTAAACTCAAAGGCCACTGCCTCTTGTATAAATAACCTAATAGTGTTAAATCTCTATACCATTTCACCATTTTTCAGGGAAAACTTGAATCACAAATATCTCGTACAATTTTCTGTTACCCCACCGATATGTGTCACATTTTGGAATCAGGAGCTCGTCAATTTTTGGGCAAATAGGGTTATTGGTATCGTCTTTAAACCTGTTCATTTGCCTTCCTGTTGGCGGAAAAAAAATCCCTGTATGAAGTATAATGAAGAAGAGAAGTCGAAATATTAACGATGTAAGGAGGTCAGGGTCGCCTGGTTTCAGATTTAAAAATTAGCGAGGAAATGCCGCAAAGTTTGTTAACTTCCATAGCCTGAGAGTCCTTGGAAACTAGAAATTTACATTTTTTGTGCCTTTAATCAATGGTTTTCAGTAAAATCCACACAGAAGTTTATTTTTTTTAAAATGGACATAAAAGGTGTTGAGCCGGAAAAAAATAAAATAAAAAAGAATTTTCCATCAGCCATAAAAATACAGATTTCTTTGATTTCTTTACTTTGACGAGTGCCTGATTTTAATAGATGCCTCAAATATATGTCTTTAATTGTTTGTTATTCTGGTTTACCCGAATTATGGATATGTCGAACACATTTGTCAGTCCCCGACATGTTTGAGTTATCTGTCCCTGGCTGTATATATAATGTAATAGGCCTATATACATGTACTGGATTCATCATCCCCGACATCAACAGTAACAGTACTGTCACTTAAAAAATCAGGAACCCAATTTTGTTTTACTACTACTACTCACCCCACATAAACAGAGTCAAGTGGAGAGACTTGCAGTATAAGAATAAGAGCAATATAATAGGTCTTGATCTATACCATATGAATGTGAATGGTGTTGTTATGAAAAAATAGGGATCTGATTACTCGAAAGAAACTTCTGCTTTTTTACCCTGGAGATTTCTTTAGATCTATATAATTAAAATCTTAACTGCTTTAACATGTTTTGTCTACTCACAATGTGCTGTAATGGATGATGTATGGTATGCCACTGCCATTCAGTTTTCTCTTCAACAGTCCACTGATGGTGAATCAAATGAAAGTCTTTTTCTTCCTGTGGGTGGTTGGCAGGTGCTCTAATATGGGTGGCAGGTGCTCTGGTGTGGTTTGCTCCTCATGTACTTTCTTTTATCTCTATCAAACATCTGTCTTTATCTCTACCCCTTTTCTTTGTATGTTACTTTCTAGTAGCTCCTCTACCTCAGCACAGGACCTATTTGTGTTGAAAGTGCAGTAAAACTTTTACTACAGGGGAGTCCACTTATAACGAATCCTGAAATAACGAAAAGTCTGTTATATAGACACTGTTCTAAATCCCAGTTTTTTCCCTTCTACTTTTTTATCTTTTTAAATAAAATACTGCTATACAGTGGAACTCGGATTCAATGATGTCGCCGGGCCTGACTTAAAATATCGTTGAATCCAAGTGTTCATTATAGCAAACACGAGGTTTTGTGTAGATAATTACAGGCACTGAGCAAGTATATAAAGAGAAATCACATGTATTGCCTCAAATGCCCGCATATTAAATAATATTAAGAGGTGTGTAAAAAAAAAAGACCGATTCGTTCAAATGCACACGCCTGTGTCATTTCGATTGTTTACCAAAACGTTGTGTTGCTGTGTAGAGCCTAGCAAACGGCAACTTTTGATTCCATAGACCAACGCACAATTCATTACGTTGATCTACGTCAAGACCAGCTTATCATTGTAATAATTATCAGTTGCCGAGGGGAGAAAAAAGACTGTGACACGTTTGTATCTCTGCGACGTTCAACGCCCGGACCGCTAGTGCACCCACCCTCCCCGACACACACACAGCCACATGTGTGCAGGCCACCCATACAACCCCGACACTCGCCAGAGTAGACACGTGCGTGTGCCAACAACGCATGTGTTGGTATGAAAAAAAAGGCCGCTGATTGGTCGCATGCAATCGGCTGAGTGAATAATGGTTCACGATGCAGGTGCAATGGATGGTTTCTGGGAATAGATAAGTTCGTTCTGGGAGAAAAATGAGCGAAGCCACGTCGGCGACCTCGTTGAATCCGAGCTTGCTGATTTAAGTGCTCGTTGAATCCGGGTTATTTTTATTGATTTTAAACTCGTTAAATCCGAGTTCTCGTTGAATCCGAGTTCCACTGTAGCACAATCAGACAAACTCGCGAGTCGGTTAGCGGAATATTGCTACTGCTGTGCACAGCGCATAGGGCAATTATACTACATAATTTATGTAAAACCTCGCCAGTTGAGAAACTTGTTGGTGATCTAGTGAATCAAAGAATGGGAGAGCCCACGTATGCCAACAATGAAGGCTGGAGCGAATGAGTGGGGAGGGTGTGGCATGCGCAGACAAGCAGAACAACGCATTGCGTGTTGGGTCAGCCTCGTCTAGATTATCTAGCCTACCCATAACCATGCTTCTCACTTCTCCGATGCGGGGATAGAGAGGTTCGAGTGCTGTGATGGGTGGAGCGAAGGTGTGATGTGGGCAGGGTGTTGTGTGTACTCATGTGTGCAAGCTGACAGAACAGACCACAGGGTGTGGTGGGGTGGGGGACAACACAGCGGGCGAGTTAGCCTAGAGCCCTTTCTGATCGCCAACGCCGAGCTGTCAACATCGCTAGCGCTAGAGAAAGAAACCTGATTCAATTTTTTATCAAGACCTTGAGGTCATGTTGAACAATGTCATCATCAGGGAAGATAACGAAAAGAAATAAACAGAACACCAAACTCATAGATTCGACCAACTTAATTATTTCCCTTGATTTTATTACTGTATCCCTTATAATTATAACGAGAATGATATTTCGCATCAGTCCCCTCCCTCTGTTTATAAAAGTATAACAGGATCCACTGTGTTACTAAACCTAGAATTTGTTGGCTTGTTGTAAGCTTTTGAATTTCTCGTAGGATGTGTTTTTTATTTCTTGAGCAGTTTACATATCTTCGCTGTTTTCTAAGGACTAATAGGTGGACTCACTTTCCTGTGATCTGCTCCCTCTACATTTAGGCCTACATATCACTGTGTTACTTGTTACTTTTCACTCTACCGATAGCCTACTTGTTTCGGATTAAGAATGAAATTGTGACCATTTTTATGTTGACTTCATTTTCCTTTATCCAGCAACATGACCCGCCCAATGTGTTCACCAGTATTTTGATTTGGTATGTGTGAAAGCTGAGTGTGATCAGAGATATATGTAGTAGTTTTCTACCTTAGATTAGCCCTTCCAGCCACATGTGCATACATTTTCACCAGCGTTTGTACCTCTCACCGCTCCAAGAACATAATATATTCTCAGTTGGTTGGGGAGGGGGGGGGGTTTACCAAATTTGAGCGTTTTGGGGAATTAGCAAAACAAATTAAGCTCAAATTTTCATATTTGTTCATTTACCTTTAATCTTCAATATATAGATCGAGTTATTATCTAAACCTCATTACAAAGATATAAGATATTACATCACTTTTTAGAATGCATGCATGTCTCTCTTTCTGAAATACTGCTGTTTTGGCTGGGACTGGGGTTAGGCGGTGCACAAAAATGGCTGGGGCTGGAAGGGTTAAAAGAGTTGCCTGCCGTGCGTGTTGCTAATCATGAATGTTGCTAATAAAGAAAACGACAAATTGCAATGAACGGCTTGTTCTTTTTTATGTATGTTTTTGTATGGGCTCTATGGCCAAATTCACGAGATGCATTAATCTTTTAACTGAAAAATGATGCATAAATTTATTTTCCCCCCAGAAACTGTGGATTGGGACAAAAATGTTTTTCCCTCAAGAAGAGGCTTCCAAATATTGAAGAACTTAGAAAAGTTCTGAAAAGTATCTGTAATTTTTGTAAAGTGAACTCTGGTCTGGATGCGAAAAACCAATCTCTTTTCATTCACTTTCAGTTTGGATATTGTTTTTTAACATCACATATATATATATTATGTACATTGTACGTTTGATATGTACAATGTAAGTTTTCACTCGATAATTAGTACCAGACAACTAAGACTAAATGTTTCATTTTCACTGGGCAAGAAATATTCCTGATGATCAATAGCATTTTAAACCTATGTGCAAATTCTAAGGCGACGAGTGGGGACATAGCGGTGCAAACTTGGGCACAAGAAAGTGTACAGGCTGTAACTATAATAATATTATTACTACAAACCTTTTTCATTTTCAAGGTATAAACATTACAGCTCATCAATGACAAGTAGAGTAAAATGACAATAGTAAGGATCAGGAAAGAAAAAGCAGCAGCTCCCTGTTGTAGACCAGGCAGTTATGAGCGTGACATGAGTCAGCCCATACAATTCTACTATGCTTGAACGAGAAATGTCCCCCCATTTGGGAATGGCCTAAAGACACAACAGTGAGTGACACTGCCCCGGGGGGTAACACTACAGTTTTTGTTTGTTTTTGTAAAGTGTTTTACTGCGCTCGCAACTGCATAAGGTCATATGAGCGCGCGGGACACACCTAATATTTTCAGTTGGTA